ACACTTGCTACGAAACTACTGCTATCACTGTTACCGTTACTGTTACTACTGTCACTACTATCAAAACTATCATATTACTTTGCTACTGATTACTTGCTGCAGATAATTAATCTCCAGGTGTGGTTGAATTGACAACTCAGCTGCTAATACCTTCAAATATTCTTTGGCTCCCCTTGTGTCGAATCTATAAATTTGGGTTGAATACTCTACCCTCGAAAACTGTTGCGATCCCCTATACTTGTGGGTTGTCAAGACCTTTTTCTGGAGCTGTTGCCAAGGAGCATATCTATATTTGTTGAGTCACTTGGGATTATTATCATATTATCACTATGAAGAATTTGAAGGATTCTAAGACTAAGATATTTCCCTCAAAGACGAGGGGAGGTAAGGAACTACCATCCAGTTTTGCTTTAGATTCACCTTCTGTTATAAGTAAACTTGCAACACCACCACATGCTATTAATTCTGATATGTCGCAAGTTATTGATGATGCTACTTCTGCTATGGATAATGCTTATGATGATGCTAGTACCTTGCTTAATAATGATGTGCCACTTGGTGAATTTCTTGATAAACAAATTGCTAGAGTTATACAACATGATGTTGTTGAATCTGATGATGAGCTTGAGACTGAAACTCCTGCTAGAACTAGGCCTCCAAGAAACAAATTGCCTAAGGTACCGGAAGGTTATGTTATGAGTGAAGAAACAAGTAGAGATATTCTTGCTTGCAAAGATAGAGATGATCTAGAGAAATTATTATGCAAGTATAAAGAAAAATCTCTGAATGCTAGAATGAAATGTGATCCTAAGTTTGCTACTTCACATATCTTTATTGGTGATAAGGATTATGAATTCTCTATCGACCCAGAGTTAATTACTTTCGTTGAATCTGATCCTTTCCATGGTTGTGAAACTGAAACTGTTGTGTCACATCTCCACTACTTATAAAAGATCAAACATTAGTTTCACTAAACACACACAACAAAGCACACACAGACGCACTACCACCGTTTGATTAGGCCCACTAATTTTAATCTAACAGCTAGCTTTACCCTGATCTATTTTTCGGTGTGCGCTTAGTATTTTGCGTTGATTGACCATGCTTCACCTGGAGGAAAACAAATTCCATGCGCCCGCAATCACAACTCCTACAATCACGCATCCCACGCAAAAAAAGAAATATATCCCCTCATAAAAAAGAAACAGACCCCCCGGCAGATCTAAAACGCGTCATTAGAAAACCTCCATCGCACCCCACCCACGACATCCTGATTGCACCATGCCCTCCCCTACCCGCCGCCTACCTCGCTCGCAGCCTCAACCACATCGCGGCTGCTGGTGTCGGGCACCATGCAGAGTGGCTGCGCGGGCCAGCCGATGCCGACGTGAGAGAAGTACGTGTCGCTCCCGACGCCGGACAAAACCGGCCCCTGTATCTCCGTCATCGATGCCACGAAGATCGGCATGGTGTTGGCCTGATTCAGGTCGTCACGGGATATCCCATCGACAGCCAGAGACGCGTGCGCCGACAATGCGGCGGCCCAGGCCGATTCGCGGCGCAGGCGGGCGATAACGAGGGACATGTGGCTCTGGTGCCAGGCCTGCTCCTCCCAGATGTAAGTCCCTGGAGTGGAGCCGCAGGGCGAGCCCGCTCTTCCCGCTGGAGTGCTCCTCCCTAGCAAGAACATTGGTGTCACTCGTGGAGAGGGACTGGTGGAGGTGGACGGCATCAGTGGTGGCGGCTGCGTTGACGCCGCCCTGCCGGATCGCACAGGCCCCCAAAAATCCGGCTTCTTACATCATGAAGATGGAACTGTACTTTCTTCCGTGATGATATCCAGCTTTGCCAGCGGCCGTGGTGGCGCTGCCTTGCCGGATCACAGATAAGCTGCTGCGGCAGAACAGCCTCAGAAAAGATGCCCACCTATTGAGCGAGCAGGACGAGCTCTCGAGTTGTGTCACCACGTTGCTGATATGCGTCGTAAGTTCCTACTCTACATCTATCAGTACTTTTTTTTTGAAACGAGGCAAAAGACTTGCCATTTTCATTGATTAAGAAGAAGTAAGAATTGCCCGGTTAATTGACGGAAAACCGGGCTAAAACCAATACAACCCAACCCATATAACATGGGCACCACCGGCCAACCTGACCACCGACATGAAACATGAGCTGCAAAGAAGAAAAGACATTCGCCGGGGAGTCGCAAGCGTCATCGTCATCACCGGTTATCTCCGAACGGGCGACTCTGACTTCACCATAGAGCTCCACCAACAAGTCGCCCTCGCAAACAGCTACATAGAGCAATGACGGCACATGCCAACAGATGGCCACACGCGCCAACAACCGACAACTTCGACTTTGACGACGAGCCTCACAAGGGAAATATGTAGGACTTGCGCCGACCGTGCCCTAAAGAGCACCTCGGGCACGCCGGGAAGATCCGATTACCAAAGCCCGAGCCGCGACCCAAGCTCCTCTTGACGCCATCATCGTTGCCAAACAAGAAATCGGCGCCCCTGAAACGGCCGCCTCAGCAAACCACGCAGCGAAGATGCCGCCCTTCCACGCGGCGAAGATGCTGCCATCCCACGCGGCGAAGATGCCGCCCTTCCATGCGGCGAAGATGCCGCCATCCACCGGTCTCAGGTTGTAGCCGGCTCCAAGACGATGCCCCCAAGGAGGAAGAAGACGTGAAGACGCCTTCATCGCCCGATCCCGCAGATCAGAGGTTTCCCTCCGGAGCCAAGGCCACGGGGTGAGGGGTGGAGCACCATACCTCGACGACGCTTCCAGGAAAGAGCGCGACACCCACAGGCGCCGCCATCGCCAGCTCCGGCAAAGGCCGGAAGAAGGATTTCTCCCTGAGATGCTCGACCACCACCAGCCCGTGCCGGCCAGCCACAGACCTCCATCAAACCTCCCTAAAACCTCCACCAAACCAGCACCGCAGAGCACCGAGGGGAGCCTCCCGTCAGCGCCCGCCCCTGCAAAGGCCGTCCCGCGCGCCCGCCCGACCAGATGCCGGGCCCTGGACGCACACCACCGTCACCGCCATCGGGCCGACCTCACGCCATCGCCCTCACCAGGCCTTGGGGCAGGAGGTCACCGCCGCCACGCCGCAGGAACCGCACCACGCGGAGACAACGAACAGGCTGCAGCAGAAAACCCCCGAAGAACGCCCGGATCCAGCCACGCCCGGCCAGATCCAGCGTCCGCCAGCCTCCCCGCCGGCCACCGAAGCACCACTGAGGCTCCCGCGCCGCCCAGCCGAGCAGGAACGGTGACCCATCGGGGAAGCGCCGAGATCCGGAGCACCACGCCCCCAAGCCGAGCGCCGCCAAGGGAGAGGCAGGAGCACCACCAGGCCTCGCCGCCGCGCCGCCCATGCGGCCGCAGCAGCCGAGAACCGCCGCGAAGACCGGGCCGCCGCCCGAGATCCAGAGCCGCCCGCGCCGCTGCGGGCCAGGAGAGCCCCGCCGCCGTCGTCCGCTGCGCGGGCTTAGCCCGGCCGCATCATTCGGCGGCGGCGAGGGAAGGTGGAGGGGGCGGGGTGGGACGAGGCGCCGGCGGTGCTGGGCTCCGCCCGAGCCGCCCAGAGGCGACGCGGGGGACGGGAAGGGGATATGTCCCAGTGGGCGGGCTCCACATCTATCAGTACTTGTGTTGTTCGTGCCATACTAAGCCTAACCTGGGATGTGGTCTTCACTTTCGGCTGCAAAACAGTTTCCCATCGAGGATGTACTTGTATATAATCACGCCATGATGCCAGATCAAAAATCCCACACAATATAGGTCAAGACTCCATCCAATCATTGATCAATTTATTATTCATCAGTTGATCCCATACTTTTGCTGGTCTAACCGTTGCACTGGATATATTAAAAATACTAAATATATTCATTAGTTATCATGATGCGTTTCAATGGAATATAAGATCAGTTTATTGATACTTCCTCTATAAAGAAATATAATGACGCGTTTCAATGGTTTTCTAATGACGCGTTTTAGATCTGCCGGGGGGTCTGTTTCTTTTTTATGAGGGGATATGTTTCTTTTTTTGCGTGGGATGCGTGATTGTAGGAGTTGCGATCGCGGGCGCATGGAATTTGTTTTCCTCCGAGTGACGCATGGTCAGTTAACGCAAAATACTAAGCGCACACCGAAAAATAGATCAGGGTAAAGCTAGCTATTAGATTAAAATTAGTGGGCCTAATCAAACGGTGGTAGTGCATCTGTGTGTGTTTTGTTGTGTGTGTTTAGTGAAACTAATGTTTGATCTTTTATAAGTAGTGGAGATTTAGATCACCGGAGTACAGTACAATCTTTACTATCTTGCACAATAGTGGACATATTTCTAAATATGTACAAAAGAACACCAAGTTATATAATTAGGTAAACTACGAATTTTACAAATCTCCAAAATTAGGGTCCCATTTTTCATTTCGCTCCAGGACCCCACATTTGTGTAAAAGGCAGAGGGGCGTCACTACAGCCAACGGGAAGGTGGATGATAGATGGTGTATGGATGGGGATGGAGATGAGATCTCACGGCATTCTGGTACTTCCCTCCGCTCCCCTGTGCTGCCTTTACTTATCGTTTATCTTGCATTGCATGTAGTGGAGCATGGTGTCCATGGATTATTTTTTTCGAGGGTACGATGTCCAAGGATATTAAGGGAGGCAGCCGGGCGGCTAGATAGGTCTGGTGGACTACTGGCGGGGGGCATAGGGGACATGCTCTTGGTTTCCATCTAATTTACTTTGCTTATTATGTCTTTTCTGAAGTTGCTGAGTAGGTAGTGGCATGATTAGAAATAGAAACCTGGTGATTTAAAACTGTTTCCCACCAGGTGTGTTGCAAATCTAATATACTGGCTGATGTTCCAGAGCAAGCATCTTGACCTGCATGTGGTTATTCATTCGGGATGGCGAGAGCGGTGCTAACATAGGAATAATTTATTTCGAACACTCCTATATTTTGTAACCATGGTGCTAAGATGTCGGCCGACCGCGTGTGTCGCCTCCCGCAATCAGTGAGATCCGAGAGGAAGAGGGGAGGCAGAGAGGGGATGGAGTGGGTAACAAGGGACGCTAGGGAGGACGAAGAGGATAGAGAAACCTGGAAGCGCGATGGTGAAGGTACGGCCTCCCCAACCCCAAGCAGCCCTAACCACATTAGCAAAGTGTGCATCCATTGAAATAAACTAGACATTGCTTCTGTACACTACTAATGATTGTAGAATTATATTTCGGAAGGAACCAATTTTTTATGGTCACGGCAACCATGATCATATTTTCAAATAGCCAAGGTTAGTAACAATTGTCTTTTATTTTCTCAGAAAAGGTGTGTGCATGCATGCATGCTAAATATCATCTTTCACTTTTTACTTCAATGTATTGTAGTCAGTAAGAAGGTCCTTTTATACTTATGAGCAGGTGCTATGTACATATCAACTTAATGTTTATTTGAACATATGCAGAATTGTGATTGATCCTCGGCTAGAGGCACCGATTGGGAGTTAACTCACACTATGAACATCTTATGACGTAACCATAACACATTTTCTTGATTGACATGCATCCCTTAACACAAGCATAACAGGAAACCTTGGTCAGACCCTAGAACATAAGGTGGAGAATTACAGTAGGTTGTTGACATCTTTGAAAGCTGTTTGTTACATTGATTTTTCTCAATAGATTCATATTAGGCCCGGGTTTATTTGAATGCCAAACATATTTTATGGCTACAACTGTATGTCAGGGGACTTATAGTTATCACAAGGCTAATGACATGTGAATTTCTAGAGACTTCTGGAGTGTTGTACATATGCAAAAACTTTTTAAGGTGCATGTCATCAACTTCTCGATTTTCTTTATTTGCATCTCTTGTCCATTTTTCTTGGTCATATAAATCTTAAGGTAGTCTACTTCGCACTAGTGAGCTTCCATAAATCAATAATATGATCCTTTATCGTAGTACTATGAACTTTTATTTTTATGAAATTACAATATTTATTATGAGTAAGCGTGGTTCTACCTTTAAAGGTTTGCACAACTGATTTGTCTGTCAACGAGTTCTCTAACTGGTTTCACGTGTACTTGCTACAGCCGCAGGAGCGAGGTGGTCATATTATGCAGATTGATGGTTTGATTTTGTATGAACTTGCAATGTTTTGTTTCTTAGATGCACAAACTTGTATCTCGGAACTCTGACGAATTATGTCATTTGATCAGCTTATGTGGAAACTGCCAATTTCCATTACCTCCACGCACACTTGCATTTCTTTTTTGCTTGGTGCTTATTGGCAATGGCCCATTTGTAGGTACTAACTAGAAGAAATTAAGATTGAAGATATATATTTCGTGATTGGAAATAGTGTACCTCAAATTTAGTTTAGTTTGGTAGTTAATGATCTTTGGTACATGCTAAGCAATGGACATGGGCATGTTGATTCATAAAGCACAATATGTCCAGTCATTTGTATGATTAGGAATTATATGCTCTTTGCATGAGATTTCAACTTTTCAAAAGGTAGGTTTTCGTTACAATAGCACTATTATTATGTTTCTGATGAACATATTTTAGTCGAGATGTGCATTGCACGTGCATAGTTACTAGTCTTACTAAGTTGAATGACATAGCCGCCATTTTTACTCATGATGAGAAAACTCGTTATGACTATATTCTCAAATTATTTCCTTTCTCTTTAAAGGGTGATGCTAAAGCTTGGTACAATACTCTTGCTCTTGGTTGTGTGTGTAGTCCCCAGGATATGATTTATTACTTCTCTGAAAAATATTTCCTGCTCATAAGAAACAAGATGCCTTGCAGGAAATATTTAACTTTGTTCAAATTAAAGAAGAGAGTCTCCCACAAGCTTGGGGGAGGCTTTGCCAATTACTTAATGCTTTGCCTGATCATCCTCTTAAGAAAAATGAAATACTTGATATCTTCTATAATGGACTAACCGATGCTTCTAGGGACTTCCTAGATAGTTGTGCTGGTTGTGTTTTCAGGGAATGAATTGTTGGACAAGCTGAAGAATTATTGAATAACATATTGAAACACTGTGATGATTGGACTATTCTTGAACCACCGCCCAAACCCACTCCGAAGAAGAGGGGTATATTATATCCCAGTCCTGAAGATATGCAAGAGGCAAAGGAATCCATGAAGGAAAAATGTATTAAAGCTGAGGATGTTAAAATTTTACCTCCTATTGAAGAAATACATGGGCTTAATACATGTAACGCCCAAGATGCGGCTATATCTCCCACGTGTCGAGGCACGACTTAGAGGCATAACCGCATTTTGGTATGATCACAAGAAGGGTCATCTTCACACATTCCCATGTAAAAGAAAAGGAAGTAAATAGTTGGCTTACAATCGTCACGTCACACAATGATCAAATTGTCCATACATCATTCAGAGTGCACACAAGGTCTGACTATGGACTGATCCAAATGAAAAGAAGACAACCACCTATGCTAAGTACCGATCGTCCCTACTAGGCACCCCTACTGATCATCCAGAAAGGAAACATAGTAACGGCCAAGGTCTTCGTCGAACTCCCACTTGAGCTCGGTGGCATCACCTGCATAGGTATCATCGGCACCTGCAACTGTGTTTGTAGTATCTTTGAGTCACGAGGACTTAGCAATCTCAAAACCTGCGAGATCAAGACTATTTAAGCTTAAAGGTAGGATGTGGTTGTAAGGTGGAGTTGCAGCAAGAACTAAGCAAATATGGTGGCTAACATATGAGTACAAGAGTAAGATGAGAAACTACGCAATGGACGCAGAGCTAGAACTGATCAAGAAGTGATCCTGAACTACTTACGTTCAAACATAACCCCACCGCGTTCTCTTCCCGAACCTCGTCGAAAATAGACCATCACGGTTACACACGCGGTTGGTGTATTTTTAAATTAAGTCAAGTGTCAAGTTCTCTACAACCGGATATTAACAAATTCTTATCTGCCACATAACCGTGGGCATGGATCTCGAAAATTTAAACCCTGCAGGGGTGTCCCAACTTAGCCCATGACAAGCTCACGATCCGCGGAGACAATCCTCCATCGTGGGACCCTCCGATCAGACTCGGAATCCCGGTGCACAAGACATTTCGACAATGGTAAAATAAGTCCAGCAAGACCTCTCGACGTGCCGAGACCCTGAAAGTAGCTGCGCGTATCTCGTCTCAGGCCACAATCGGATTGTTCAAACTTCCGGTAGGCCAATCCAGAGTTGCCCCTGGCGGCCACCGGCGGTTGACAGGTTGGACCAACACTCATGAGGAGGACTGGCCCGGGTGGTTGGTTAAGAATCCTCGAGTTAATTACTCCCTATGCAAATTTTAGTTGTTATTAGGCAAATGGTAAAACCAATGTTGGGCCTTGCTGGAAGAGTTTTATTCAAAGCGAACTGTCAAGAGGGGCCCATAAAACCTCACCATGTTAGGGACGCAAAATCGAGGAACATAACACCGGTATGACGGAAACTAAGGCAGCAAGAGTGGAACAAAACACCGAGCAAAAGGCCAAGCCTTCCACCCTTTTCCAAGTATATAGATGCATTAATTAAATAAAAGATATTGTGATATCCCAACATATCCATGTTCCAACATGGAACAACTTGCACTGCACCTGCAACTAGCAACGCTATAAGAGGGCGGAGCAAAAGCAGTAACATAGCCAAACAACAGTTTGCTAGGAAGGTGGGCTAGAGGCTTGACATGGCAATAAGGGAGGCTTGATAAACAAGTGGTAGATAGCGCGACATAGCGATAGAGCAAACAACTAGCAAGCAAATACAGAAGTGATATCGGGGGTAATGATCATCTTGCCTGCAAAGTTCTCAGGGTTGTCGAAAGCTTGCTCCTCGTAAACATACTCGACAGGATCCTCGTTCACGAACTCGTCTCCCGGCTCTACCCAAAGCAAGAACACAAGCGAGGGAACAACAATCAATCATGGTGCAATGCGCAAGCAACATGATGCAAGACATGACATCGGATTCAAGATATGATGTGCTATGCATATGGGTACTCCGAAGGGAAAAGATGATCATGGCATCAACTTGGCAACCCAAGCATGCCACCGGATAGGTTGGGAGATTTCGGTTGAAATCAATGTGAAGATCACCGGAAACGGATGGATGGTTTGCAAATGACAAGCAAAACAAGATATGATGCAATCTGCTTAACACAACAACATGGCCACTTGGATGCATAGTTTAGACATGCTACATCACCCAAACATGAAACAAAATACATGGCAATGAAGTACAAGTGAATCTCTACAAATCATGAACACTGAGCTACTGCTAGAACTGGCTAGGACAGGTCCAAAACAGCATGGCAAAAATGCAAATGACAACAGTTTAACAGACTTAGCGGAAATTCACTGAGCATTACAGAAACAACATCATGTAGCAATGTTTAGAGATAGTAAACTACATGCTACAGGAATATATCATGGCAAACTTGAGCATGGCATGCTAGTACTAGAGGCAATGAACAAAACTCCCTTACTGAACTTGAGCCAAACATCCACGGAAAAGATGGTAGCATCAATGCAAACATGGCAAATGATATGAACAGATCCCAGACTTAGTAGAAATCATGGCATGGCAGAAACAGATTCATGATAGCAACTTTGCAAGCCTGTGGCACTCATCACAGTGCACTTTATGACATGGAATAAAATCTATCATGGAGTAGACATGAAAATGAAGCTATCCATGTGCAAAACAACCACATAGCACAATTGCATGAATATACACATAAATGACAAAAGAACAACATGATGTAAAATGACATGGTCATGAACTTGCTCAAATGCAAAAACTAATGCCACCACTGGATTGCTGGGATTTTTCTACCCCAAAAACATATATAATATGTAGGGGTTCTTATAAAAAAAACTTCACAAAATCCCTAAGATGAAACCTGCCTTAAATGGCATTAAACAGATATGGCCATTGCCATATTCGGAAACGTCTAGAAATGGACTTGCCTGAAATGGAATAACGTATCTTTCCAGAAATGGAATATGCTAAAATGAATTAAAAGAAAAGTAAACAAGGGAGAGAGCATGACACGTGGGGCCCTGCGGTGTGAGAGAATGACAAGTGGGGCCCCTCTGTCAGTGGCTCAAGTAAAACAGAAAAAGGGTGTTGGGGATATTACTACTGGACGTAAACCGGCCAGGAGTGGCCAGGTTAACTCTATGAGATTAGAAGCCCGGGAAGACAAAGGATGGTAGCGCTTTATGAAGGCCCAAGGACCAAAGGTAGGTTGAGGCCTGTAGATGTAAACTGACGTTGTCATGTAACTCGTATTGTAAGATAGGAGGAATAGAGACTAAGTTGGACACATTGATGATCCGGCCTCGGGACTCTGTAAACCGGCGGGCGTCGACCTATGTATATAAAGGGACGACCCGGCGGCGGTTTAGGGACAACACACAATAACTAGAGAGCCAGGCAAAGCGGATTCGCTCCCTGGTCATCAAAACCCTAGCAATTCCATCACAACTGGAGTAGGCTTTTACCTTCATCGTAAGGGGCCGAACCAGTATAAAACTCTCGCGTCCCTTGTCCTCTTTAACCCCTTTAAGCTAACCCGTAGCGATGGCTTCACGACTAAGTCCTTTCACAAGGACATCTGCCGTGACAAAACCACGACAGTTGGCGCC